TTACTGTCCTAAGTAATGTTCACATTTCTGATACTCTACTTTTTAAAAGTATGTTTTCTCTATTTTGTTTCCATTTTGCTTGATGCTGACTGGAAAGTCACTGTGACAATGCAGTTGATGGTTGTACTTCTTTATGGAGCACCCCAAAGTGTGCTTTACAGAAAGTATGAAATTATGAATTGGGCTCTCTCAGATCTTGTAATGACTTAGGGTGGACCCGTATGCTTCCATGCAGCTCATTGCAGGATCAGGGCTTAATTTTTTTAATGTGATGTGGTGAGTGAAAGTTAAAACAAAACAAAACAAAAACCACAAAAAGCAACAGTTGAGAGATGGCGAGGGCGGGGGAAGAAAAGGGTTTCAGTAAAAAGATTGTCCCGTTTCTCAGTTTTTGTTATGTGTACATCTGTGTGGATGGGTTAAGTGTGTGTCTGTACAGTGGCGAGGAGTCCTCTGGCACCTTATAGACTAACTGAAGTGTTGGAGCATGAGCTTTCATGGGCAAAGACCCACTTCATTAGATGCATGTAGTGGAAATTTCCAGAGGCAGGTATAAATATGTAGGCCAGAATCAGGCTGGAGATGACGAGGTGGATCCAACCAGGGAGGATGAGGCCCACTTCTAGTAGCTGATCTGGAGGTGTGAATTCCAAGAGAGGAGAAGCTGCTTTTGTAGTTAGCGAGCCATTCACAGTCTTTGTTTAATCCTGAGTTGATTGTGTCAAACTTGAAGATGAACTGTAGCTCTGCAGTTTCTCTTTGAAGTCTGGTCCTGAAGTTTTTTTGCTGCAGGATGGCTGCCTGTGCTGTTGGTAGACAGAGACCTACACCTACAAGATCTTCAACAAGCATTCTGTAAACTACAATACCCACACAAGGAAGTGAGGAGACAGATTGACAGAGCCAGACGTGTACCCAGAAGCCTCCTGCTACGGGACAAGCCCAAGAAAGAAACCAACAGAACACCACTGGCCATCACCTACAGTCCCCAGCTAAAACCTCTCCAACGCATCATTAGTGATCTTCAACCCATCCTGGACAATGATCCCTCGCTTTCACAGGCCTTGGGAGGCAGGCCAGTCCTTGCTCACAGACAGCCCGCCAACCTGAAGCATATTCTCACCAGCAACTACACACTGCACAAGCTCGCTAACTACAAAAGCAGCTTCTCCTCTCTTGGAATTCACACCTCCAGATCAGCTACTAGAAGTGGGCCTCATCCTCCCTGGTTGGATCCACCTCGTCATCTCCAGCCTGATTCTGGCCTGCATATTTATACCTGCCTCTGGAAATTTCCACTACATGCATCTAATGAAGTGGGTCTTTGCCCATGAAAGCTCATGCTCCAACACTTCAGTTAGTCTATAAGGTGCCAGAGGACTCCTTGCCGCTTTTGCAGATTCAGACTAACACAGCTACCCCTCTGATGTCTGTACAGTATATTTTTGAGGTGATATGACAGAGTGGGTTTCACTGAATTATTTGAAAGAGGAGAGGCTGATGGTTTGGTTAGGCAGAGATTAGAAGGATGTTCTACACATAAGTGATAGAAGAAGACTCTGAAACAGTAATTGAAGGGTACAGAGTGGTGGGATGCAGGGGGAGAAGAGAAAAGAAAGGAAATTATAACTCTTTTTTTCCTAAGAAGTGATAGCTGCTAATAAATGTTTTTATCATAAAACTTTGAACATGTTAGCCCACTTACTTGTCATACCTTTTTAACTCCAGAGGTATTTTCTGTTTATAGGTAAAATCAGTAATAACTATATTCTACTCACTATGATAATGTCTTGGGTTATACAGCCCTAATAGCTTGAATTTCATCACATGTCCACACTGAGTCACACCATTCCCCACAGAAGTCAATGGTTTAAGAACTTTTGGCCATATGTTCTGCCACTTGCTTCTATAGACTCATTTTTCTGATATAAAAGTAGAACGTGGGTATTGTGCTCTAACAGTACCTTACAGGAAAAAATAAAGTGCATTTTGATCTCATTTTATATTAAGAGGACCTTTATTAGTTAATAGTGTTTTTAAATATTCTTTTCCTTTTTCCTTGCCCATTTCCCTTCACCTGTTTATTCTTGGATCTGGACTTTTAATACTCCATTCATCTGAAGAAGTGGGTTGTACCCATGAAAGCTCATGGTACCATCTACATGTTTTGTTAGTCTTTAAGGTGCTGCTAGACTATTAGTTGTTTTTTAAGTTTTTTAAATGGATGGTTAATCAATTTATACAGCTTGCTATTTGTCTATCAGGTCAATAAGTTGCATATAAACCATGGCTTGTAACAGCCTGTAGCTCCTTCTTCCAACAAATTTATAACCATCTACATTACATACTATTTATGTCTCCAAAAGGCTGATAAAGCCTACTAATTAATTATTGAACTTTTATACACTATTTATTAACATGTGCATAACAGAAAAGTGTGACGTTTATTTTGTAATATGTAAAATGTTATACTTTTCCTGATTTTCCCCCTCCGCCCTCCCTACCCCCCGGAACTTTCTTTCTCCCTTTGGTGTTTTCTTACATCATCTGTGTACCAGTGTCATCAGTGGTTGAGACCATTGCTGCAAATTTTCACAAGTTTGCTCATCTTTTGTGTGTAATTTTAGAAGAAAATTACTTACAATTTTACCACAACTTTTCACTTCCAATCACATACAAAAAATACTATTGGTACTATGGCACAGTTAATAAGAGTCCATCACCCATAGGTGGAATAATTTTTGATTTACAGTGTTTGATAGTGTGGACTTGTAAAAAGAAATAACTTAGCTTCAGATATTTTTATCCACTGACGTAAGCACTCCAGTTAGGTTGAAGTAGTTTTTCTACTATACAGTGTGACCCATTCAGTGTTTGGCATTGAAATACTTGCTCTGTAGTTATCTGTTGTTCCTTCTGAATCTACAAAAATGGAAGTTCATATGAATATGTCTCTAGGTTAGGATTCAGTAGTGTGTAGGTGTGAGCAGGAGATAAGCAAAGCCTAAAATAATAGCTAGGGGTTTCAGAAGGAAGAATAAGTTATGTGAACTGATGCCTGTTTATAGCCAATAATTGCAAAAGAAATCTTCGGCTTCTGTAGCTGATGACGGAGTCCTTGCTTTGTACTCTCCTGGGAAGTTTCCCATGCATCAGCCCATCCAAGAGAGTGGGTTACAAGTCCTGTGGGAGGAGCTGGGAGTAAGCGACAAAAGGGCATGTCACCACACAACGCTCCTAAAAAGGAAGCACGTCTTGTAGAAAGAGTCTGTACATCAGTCTTCCTTGTAGTGGAAGAATGCCATGTGCATATGGTGAACTAAAAACACAAGTCTCACTGGCCGGGGCAGTGCACTAGAATGGCACTAGAAATAGTGCAGCCAGTAAAACCCAGAGCATGGGCCATTGGAGAGCTGATTCACTGTAATGCTGATTCACTCTGACTGTTATGTAAGAGATCGAGCCAGTCATCACTCTTTTAAATAATTATTTTGTGCATTTTGGGGGGGATGGAGTTTAACCCTGGCTTTGCTCTGTGTCAGGCCACCTAACTCATATAGAAAGGCTTCTAAAAAGGGGCAAGGATGCTTCTGCATAGCCTCACTTCCCACTTTCTGAACCCTACCACTCCTTTTGAGTCTGTGCTCCTGCATGTGCACTTGGCTGATATGATTTGGCTCAGGTTGATAAGAATAATTTTCAAGATGTTTTCGTTCCATTTTTGTGTGATTTTAAAAACATGATGACAATTGCTTTATTATGTGGTTAATGAATCTGAAGTACAGAACAGTGCCTGGAAAACTGAGACCAGTATTTTCTTTCAGTTACATAGTAAACTTCTGGAGACAGAACGTCAGCTTGGGGAAGCACATGGTCGACTTAAAGAACAGAGACAACTCTCTAGTGAAAAACTGATGGACAAGGAACAGCAGGTGGCTGATGTGCAGTTAAAACTTTCTCGTGCTGAAGAGCAGGTAGGAATGATAAATACGATCAGATTTCATCTTTGTTGTGGTAGTGTTTTGTGCAGGCTTGCTGGTGGGGGAGAGGGACCAACTGCCCCAGGGCTGGGCAATTCTAAAGGGTGCAGTGCTCCTGACTGCCGCCATGTCTACTGCAGCATCGGCAGATCCTGGAGCTCTGGGACCTTTAAATCACTGCTGGAGCTCTGCGCAGTGCATTCCAGGCTGCTGTAAGTGCTGGGGGGAGAGGTCATCACAGCACACTTCAGGCAGCACTGATGTCTGGCTGCCCTGGCTCTGCCCTTTATGCCAGAGCCCTGCTCCTTCTGGGAGCGTAGAGCATACCTCCACTTTTCTTAGGGACCGGGCATGGCTGTCAACTCCTCTGGTTTTGTGTGTTCTACCTGCCATATCCTTCTTATGTTGTTGGTGTATACAGAGTTTGTGTCCAACTGGCAGCTTTGACTGAGTTTGTTAAAACTTAATTGAATTTTCTACAATTCATCATTAAAAGAATCCTTAGTATTTTTCTTTTGGCAAAATGGTTTATATGACAGTTACATTTTTTTAGAAGGCTAAGAATTGTTTCCTTACCTAGTACCTAAATGTGCAAGGTGCTTTACTGATACATGAAGGGAATGGCCCCTGACCTTGAGAGCTGTGAAGCTAAAGGTTTGTGCATGCAAAAAGATCCACATGCACAGAATCTTACGCCATGAATAGCAGAGTTTTGTGTGTGCATATCTTTTTATGGGATCAAGTTCCAGGTGAAGAAACAATAGAGATAAAACACTATTATAGACAATAACTTGTGTGTGTAGGAAAATTATTGTCAGAAAATAGTAATTTTACTACTCTATTAATAGGTCAGGGTTTTTTGCAATTGGGGTACTGTTTCAGTAACAAGTATTTGTTGTTGACCTGTTTATATGATCTATATGTGGAAACAGCTAATAGTGGTAAATTTTTCAAAGTTTAAATTGCAGTTTAGCAGACATCTTTAACTTGTGTAAAACTTTACCACTCTTAGCTGTATGACTCTCATTACATTCTAACACTATCATACAGCTTTGCATGTTGGCTCCAGAAAGTCTGGTAAGGTAAGTAAAGCATAAGGGCAGGGTGTATACCTAAAAATTCATGGTCGCAACTTCATTGACTGTAATAAAATGCTCTGTGTTGACGAGAAAGAGCTGTCCCATCAGCATAGCTAATCCACCTCAAGAGGCAGTAGCTATGTTGACTGGAGAAGATCTCCTGTAGACATAATGCTGTCGATACCAGGGGTTAGGACTGCATGACTACTTTGCTCAGGCATGTGGATTTTTCACATCTCCGAGCAACACAGTTATACTAATGTAAGTCTGTAGTGTAGACAGACCTAAGCTGCTACTAAAATTGCTAATGATAATTAGCATTTAGTGTATTTTATGAATATTAAATTACTCCAAGTCTACCTTAGACAAAAAACCGAAACAGTTTGATGTTAAGATGTAAAATAATGCATGTCTGACACTTGAGATAATTTTTGTCATTTAGAATTTGTCTACTGTCAGTGTTGAGAAGTACTTCAGTACTGTGTTCGTTCATTGCTATGGAACTGGTATGACAAATTGCTATTTCTAAATCTGTTTAAAATGTTAAACTGTTTAGTGTACAGTCTTTCAGTATTAGAGTGAATGATAAATGTTATTGAACTACTGAATTGTGCTTGTCAGTTTTCAGTCAACAGTCCGTGACTGTTTTTTTAAGCTAAAGGAAAAAGCAGCAAATTGCACTGAATTGCAGCATCAGATAGATAAAGCAAAACAGCAGCATCAGGAGCAACAGACTCTTCAGCAAAGCACTACAGCAAAACTGCGAGAAGCTCAGGTAAAAAAACCAACAAACACATTCCTTTCCAGCTACTGTAGTGCAGCTGTTAATATTGCCAGTGCACTGCAGTATACAAACAAACCACATGAAATCCTAATATATAGCATTTGCTTTTCTTTATAAATGTTTTTAACATTATTTAATTATTTCAAACTTGCATATGTGGTAAATATTTTAAAATTTGAAATCTACCATTTTATGCATCAGGATTAACTTTTAAGGTCCTTATACTTAAATAAATCATTTAATGTATTTTAGAATGATTTGGAACAAGTATTGCGTCAGATTGGAGATAAGGATCAAAAAATTCAAAATCTTGAGGCCTTGCTGCAAAAGAGTAAAGAGAACATCACACTGTTAGAAAAGGAAAGGGAGGACTTGTATGCGAAAATTCAAGCAGGGGAAGGAGAAACTGCAGTACTTAACCAGCTGCAAGAGAAAAATCATACTTTGCAAGAACAGGTAAGAAATGAAAAAGTTTCCACTACCCTTAAGAAAATATTCTTATTTGGGTAGGAAGAATCTTATGTTTCCATCTTCCAATCTGCAGCTTCTGCCTCCACTGTAATTGCTTTTTCTTGGCTACAGTTGGTGCTTCACATCCCAGTTCACAAGTAGTTGTGCATTTGGATATGAAGGATTGTGCGTATACATACAATCAAAATAATTTATTATTATTTTACTTCTATGGAAATCTAATTGATAACATATTTAAAAAAGAATACACATAGCATACATCTTTGAAGTTGGAAATTACACACCTAGTGTAGCCTCTAAAAGATACTTTATTAGATAGTGTTGAGACATTTTTAAAATAACGTTAGCTCTCTCAAACTCTCTTGATTGCTCTCTATCTTAAAATATATGCTAGAATCAGTACTTTTTGTTCATACAATTTTTACATCAGATTTTGACAAAAGATAATTTTATTGTACGTTAGTAACTCTTTTTGTACTTAAAGGCATTTCTTAGCATATTGTTTAAAAGACACATGTTAATATTATTTTATGATTACTAGGAAAGGTTATTAGAACACTGTGTTCTCCTTTTCCAGCATATGTGCAACATAATACTAGTAATTGGAGCTGAATGTGAGTTTTCTGTCATATAGTCCTTAGTGTATGTTATTGGTACAAATGTGATTGAAATGTACCAGTTTCTAATACTGTTACCTGTTTCTAATGGAAGGAACACCTGTCTTTTATGAGCTACTTGAAAAATACTTTGGTAGCAAACACATGCAATTTTTTGTGAGTAATTAATGAATGTTTATGCTATGCTTGCTGCAAAATTAAAATAAAACATACACAATGTATAGAATACTGTTATGAATTAAATTGAATTTAATTCATGCTTGTTGCAGACCTAGAGCTTTGAAACTGGCAAAGATTCAGTTGATAGGGGTCTGTTATTTTCTGGATGGTCACATGTAACTCACATTTATGTTAATGGTAATATGGATATACTGTTATCCTGAACAATTTATACCCCAACATGGTTGTTAAAGTTAAGCATGGACATAAGTGTTTGCAGGCTTGGGCCTTAAGAAGATAGATGAAGGGTGAAGGGAGAGGGATACAATCAAATATATATATGCTTTTCTGTTAATGGATTTACTTGTAAATTCTTGGCAAATACTTTCTATATTCAAGGAACAAGTGCTGTATGTTGTATTTTTCATACTGTTATGAGCTAGGTGAAACCTTGTTATGTATCTTGTTAAAATGTTAGTCAAACTGCTAAATGAACAAGCAACATAAAGCCCAGTAACATCTGCCCAGAATCTTGTACCGTGTGCACAGAGGATTTGACTGGGTGTTGTATCCAGGAGCATGTGGGAAGAAGAGAGCATGGAAGCATGCAGAAATGGAGAGCAGACAAGAACAGAGAAGAGAGGCAAGAAAGTCAGGCTGTAGCATGGAAGCATAATCCGACCTTGCAAAAAGCTAGAGAGCTTTTGGATTGGTGTTGGATAAAGAGGCTTGGGGACTGTAAAGTTAGAAACTGCACATTTTGTTCTTCGTTCCCTCTGTATTCAGAGGCTCATCACGTTGTACATTCCTTCCAATAAAAAGGACTGCAGCAAAGAAAATACCACCAAATTCTACTTTCAGATGTAAGATCCCCAGAGCCTCAAGCTATGATTTTTCACTCACGTGTTAGAGCCAATAATACATAACCAAAGGGTTGAATTCATGCCTTCCGTGCAAGCTCAACTCAGTCTAACTGTTGAGCCATAATTGGTACCTCCATGATGTGTTTAATTTTATTTATTTTTTTTTTTTAAACAAATAAAGCAAGAGTCAGCCATTCTCAACTGTCTCTCAACCTAGCCATCACTAACAGGCATACATAGAAAAATGCACACTCAGTGTGATATGAGAGTGATCATGCTTATTGGCTTTGACTATCTTGTCAAGATAGTTATGCTTTGAAAAGTTGGGGTGACCACTGTATTACACACACAAATCAAATGTACTCTTTTCGTCCAGAGAGAGAAACGTAGAATCAGTAAGTGGTGAAGTTGGTCAGTATTGGGGCTTTGTAATCAAAACAACATCTTTTGAATTTTAGGGTTTTTAAATGTTGGCTTTGGACTTTTGATTGTCAGCTTTTTTATATTGTAGGTAACTCAGCTAACAGAAAAGCTGAAGAATCAGTCGGAAAGCCATAAACAAGCCCAAGAGAATTTGCATGAACAGGTGCAAGAACAGAAGGCACATCTGAGAGCTGCTCAGGACCGTGTGCTCTCCCTAGAAACAAGCATTGGTGAACTAAATAGTCAGCTAAATGAAAGTAAAGAGAAAGTATCCCAGCTTGATTTACAGGTAATTTGCCAATGTACTACATGCTAATGTAAAAAAATCCATCAGTAATTCATCATGGAAAAAGGTGATCTTTGTTGAATATATAGGGCTAGTAGGCCAAGTTTCTACTAAAGTTTGCTTGTTTTGTGAGCCACAAAATAAAGTGCAATAAAGAAGATACAGTAAAGCAATACATCAGCAGTTCCATGCTACGAGGATTGAAGCCAAAAAAACATACACTGAAAAGAGCACATGGAATTGAGGAAGGAGACATTTTGTCTCCTTAAAAGACTCAAACTTGTTCTGTACCGTAAGGCTAAGAAACCGATCTGAAAACAGTTTTAATGGTTCTATAATCCGTATGTCAGTGTCAGAATTTGTCTAAGCACGTTCGTGAAGAACTTGATGCTACCCAGAATTTTAATAGATTTCTGATTTTTGAAGTGGTTTTATATTTTACTGTTTTCTTTTGTCCAAAGCAGTGAAACAATAGTTCCAGCAAGGACTAAATCACAATTGAGAGAGGCTGAGGGCTTGTCTACACTTAAAATACTGCAGTGACGCTGCTGTAGTGTTTCAGTAAAGACACCCCCTACACTGATGGGAAGGCTTCTTCTGATGACATAGGTATTCCACCTCCCTTAAGGCGGTATTCACCCACCAGCCTAGTGCTGTTGACACTAGGGGTACGTCTAGACTACATGCCTTTGGCAATAGAAGCATGTAGATTAGACTACCCGGCATAGGAAAATGAAGCGGCGATTATTTAAATCGCCGCTTCATTTTCCTATGCTGGGTAGTCTAATCTACATGCCTCTGGCGACAGAGGCATGTAGTCTAGACATACCCTAGGATTAGGTTGCTTACCCTCCGTTGCTCAGGGATATGGATTTTTCACACTCTTGAGTGAGACATAGTTATATGAACTATTTTCCCAGTATGGATCAGGCCAGAAGCCTGTGGAACAGTTTAGGCTTTGATGTTGTTCCCATTAAATCAAATGGGAGTTTTGCTATTGCTTTGAGTAGGAGCAGAATAGGACCCTTAACGAAGAAGAAAAAAATAGCTAACTTACAAATAGCTAGAGATCTCTGAATACTGCCCATACAGATCTACACTGTCAAACTCTTCATGTCTGTTCTTCAGATTCTGTTTTCTTAGGCTGGCAGGTGAGAACTGAGGAAGAGAGAATCATAGAATACTAGGACTGGAAGGGACCTCGAGAGGTCATCGAATCCAGTCTCCTGCCCCCGTGGCAGGACCAAATACTGTCTAGACCATCCCTGATAGACATTTATCTAACCTACTCTTAAATATCTCCAGAGATGGAGACCCACAAGAGGGTCCATTGTACCTATTTGTGCAGTCCCAGTGTGTGCATTAGAGCACATGGTTGTTTCCTAAAGTAGCTGCATATAATATTTTCTAGGTCTTCAAAGCACACAAATATTAGAGTATGGATTAGGGATGTCAATGTGTAGTTGATTATACGATTAACTGATAAGTCTTGTAGGTTAATCTTGTTGACTACACGCATTCCCTTCCCCTTTCTATTTGCAAGTTAGCTATTTTTAAACAGGCTTAAAAGCTGGTTCCTCCCAGCACTGGTTCTGTGGTGCTGCCTGCCCCTCCCCCCGCGCTGCTCCCTTGGAGGCGGTGCAGCCTCTGTCTGTGGGGAGCTCAGACCCCCCGCAGACAGGGACTGCTGCCAGACCAGTAGCCTCTGTCCACTGCTAGCCCGGGTCACCACAGACAGAGGCTGCTTTGCGGCATCCTCTCTGGCCCCTCCTCCCTGCAGCAGTCTTTTATTTGCGGGGAGCTCGGACCCCCTGTGGACAGGGGCTGCTGCCACTCTGTGCTGTATCAGAGGCAGCAGTGTAGGGCAGCAGGCAGCTGGTCTGCGCAGGGAAGTGTTTTTTAAACGGGCACCCTGTGCTGCTGCCTTGGATACAGAGGCAGCAGCGCGGAATTGCAGGGGGCTCCCCGGGAGTGGGACCAGAGTGAACTGGTTTCCACCCCCACCCCCGGAGACTATAGAATAGTTGAGTAACCAATAAGAATTCATGCTGTTACTCGACTATTCAATTAACCAATATTTAACATCCCTAGTATGGATGTGGGGAAGTCAGTTGGGTCCAATCCAGTTTATAGTCAATGAAAAGGTTTCCCTGGACTAAAAAGGGAGCTAGATTGGTCACCATAACTCAGAGACAGATAATTACTCATAACTTTATTTTATTTATTTTGTTCCATTCTGCCTTCAACTGTATAAACTTTGTTTTATTTGCTTCAGGGGGTAACCGAGTTAGACTGTTACAGAGAAAAAAAACAGCAAGCAAATGGTCTGTTATTTGTGTCCAATATTTCATCATGTCAGAATTACTAGTAATTAGCAATACATAGCAAATATTATAGTGCTTGTTAGAAGGAAGAAAATAAAAGCAGTTGCAATCAAGATATCTTTATGATCTTCATATTATGAACATTATAACACTCTTCTTTTCAGATAAAAGCAAAGACTGAATTACTTCTTTCGGCAGAAGCATCAAAAGCTGCTCAAAGAGCAGATCTTCAGAATCATTTGGACACGGCCCAGAATGCGCTGCAAGATAAACAACAGGTAGGAGAAATTAATGTTGCTAGGCGATCTAAAATAACCTGCACACAAAACCAAAAGGACAGTTTGGTTTGGGGGAAAAAAATCAAAGTCCTTGTGCATTTGCATTTGTGTTGAAGACATTATTCAGACTATTTGCATAGGTGATCTATTTTGTCGTGATAGTATAAACAGAGCCCTGTGTGTTATAATGTATGGAATTTACTGTGGAATCCACCTCTGTTGCAGAAATGTACTTTAGACTATAAGCTTTCATATTATAATAGAATTGTTTCTAACCTGTGTGATTATGAAGAGAAACTTTCCAAAGTATATTGAGTGTAAAACAAAACAGTATTATTTTTCTGAAGTCTGCAGACTCAGGATAAAAAAAACCCTTCAGTTAAATCAGAAACCATACTTTTAGTCGAAAATAAGTGCACATACGCACATGCACACATTGCAAATAATAAAGGGATGAATTAAAACCAATCTAGTTATTTTGGTGCAAGTCTGCGTCTTTTCCATCCCTAAACCAGCATGTCTCACTGTGGTGGTAATATTGAAAATAAATGATAAATTAACTGTAAACCTGGTTAATTGTTTTGCTGCTAATTATTTCAGCAGAAACATCCAGAATTCCAAACCACTTCCAAAACAAACACCACCTCCCATGCCTCCTCATATGAGGAATTGAATATCATTATAAATAGTACACTGTCTTCTGTGGTGATTTTAGTGTTCATTTTAATAATTCATTAAAAATCTCCCATATTTTATTTTAAATGAAGCCGCTGAAGAGTCTCTCAGTTTCCTGCATCAAAATGTTGCATTAGTTAGGTCCGGCTCTCCATAAAACATGTGGGCCTTTGATTATAAGTATTACGTGTTCCATTTCTGATAGAGAGTATTATTGTTCTGTTTTGAACCAACAGTTTTCAAACTTTGGTCGGTGAACCATTGGGGTCTGTGGAGAGTTGACTGGTCAGATGCTATTGCCTGCCCTTATTCCTCCTATATTTAATTGATTGCTACAAATACGTTACTATTTTGTTCCCATGCATGCAATTGCTGTAGTTGTCACAAGAATATCATGTGATTATGTATGGGAGTGATGGCCTTTAAGACAGTCTCTTCATTAAGGTGTGATTCCCAGCATGAAAAAGTTCTGCCTTAAAAGCAATTTGTAAAGAACAAGCTATTAAATATGTTGTTTTTCTCAAAAATAGCATATGTATCTGAACATTTTAGACAAAGATTTAGGCAAGTGTTTAGAGAACTCCTTAATTCAAAAATATTATTCCCTTCATAAAAGTAACTATTTTAAATTATATTTTACTTCATAGGAATTAAATAAAGTCAATATTCAGTTGGATCAGGTTACGGTCAAGCTGCATGACAAGCAAGAATATTGTACACAGCTGGAAGCCAGTCTTAAAAAGTATAAAGAGAAACATCTTTATTTAGAACAGAAAACAGAGGAGCTAGAGGGACAGCTTAAGGTTTGTATTCAGAAATGAAGATCTTGAGTTTATAAAGCTAGCTTTTATTATATAAAGCTGCAGAGTTGTTTGATAATGCATGGTAACAGCAGTGGCGAAAATGTAGGGGGAGGATGGCAAGCCACCTATAAAGTGATGTTCATAGTAGTCTCTTTACTCAGTGCTTCCTTTTTCAGCTGATGAATGAGAAAGTGGGGTTATGCCTCCATCCCCACCAATTGCAATCCTGAATATAATTCACGGAGACTATTAAGAGATGAGATACAGACCACTTCCTAAATTCAGAACTTTTATATTTGTGGTTATGTATACGTCAAGTAATTTTATACAAGTGCATACATGTTTACAGGATCAGACCCTAATGGAACACATCTTCAGTGTATTACATTTAAGACAGGAGGCAACATGAGAAGTTTATACAGCTGCACAGAGGAGAAGTATTTTCCATTTATAAATTACTGGGTTATTTTTAGATTACAGTATTTTAAGTGTCTTACAGATATTTGAATCCATTAAATACAGGTGCATGTTTAATTTTAAATGTACATAAGAAGACTAGGGGTGAGCTTGTCATCCCTTCTGTAGCCCCTTTGTGCCTGGTGGCACTTATAAATAACTGAGTGATTCACTACTTTGGTGATTGTGTTATGGTAACTGTAGCTTTTTCTTTTCTTTTCCAGAAACTTGAATCTGACATTCTTGAGGTTAAAGCAAGCAAAGAACAAGCTCTTCTGGAGCTACAGCAGCAACGGCAGCAGTGTACAGAGCTCGACCTCAGAACAACAGAACTGACTAAACAGCTTGAAGCAGAAAGAGAAATGTATGCAAATGCTATTCAGTGCATTACTTTATAGACCTAGATTCAAATTTGAAAAGTTTGATAAGACCAGACAAATGCACCTTATACTCTTAGACTAAAATTGAAATACACAGTCAATTACTTCATGATCATCATGAAGCCTACACATAAATGGCGGCTTCTGCATTTTTCCTCACAGGGGAGAGAAGCATCGCCTTGTTTGACTTCTGCTTCAGCCACCAGCCTTTGTCCCTCAGATGAATCACCAAGTACCATGACTTAACCTGAGCCCTCAGTATAGTTCCTCCCTCTCTTCTGTACACTCTGTCCAGGTACCACTTGTATCAGCAGCAGAAAGCTGGTCATCAGTAAACAACCATATATTAGTATATATTTAAAAAACTAGGGATCTTTCTCAGCATGGGCTCAGATCTCTAATATGTATATAAATGACATATTCACCATCAAAATATATGTGGAAAAACAGGTTATATTATCACAGAACAAATGAGATTATTGGAATTCATACTCTTGACTAAGTGGATTTAAGTTTTGTGTGATAAATGGACAAGGAAGTTCCAAACCATGGGTGGAAATTTGGTAGGGATACAGAATACAGTGTTATAGCTGGTGAGGGACTCTTAATTGTAAATGAAATTTCTCCAGCAATCAGCACAACAAAAACTACCACAAAATATAATCTGGTAATGCTAGAGCATTGGAGGTTAGTCTCCCAACTTTTAACTCTGTCTGGGAATAATGTATGAGACTGTCTTTTGTAGAACCGTAATTTCAGAAGATTTACATGTTGATTTACAATTTGCCTGTTAGCTTTCTCAGAGTGGTTCATAGGTATAATGTTTAAAGAAGAACCAACCTGAAAATGGGACTTCAGAGTGTGTCATTTATTTAAGTGTAGAAACAAAATATCCATACATCATCTGAAAAATGTTTTAAATTATTACAACAATATATTTTAATAGTGGAGAATAGATTTAATTACACAAAACAATTTATGGAAAATTTGTGAAAGATTTATTTCACTGTTCTGCTTTGTATTTGCACAGTGTATCTAGTACTAAATTGGATTTGCAGAAGAAATCTGATGCCCTGGAACAAGCAAAACAGCAAATATCAAATCAAGGGGAAGAAAAAGCAAGCCTTAAGCGGGACCTTGAGAAATTAAATCAAGAGACAAATAAACAACATAAGGAATTAGATGTAAAAATTCAAGCAGCAACATCAGAGCTGCAGAAAATCAAGTTGGAGAAAGATACTTTATTGAAGGATCTTACAGTTACCAAAGACAAACTTTCAAAAACCGTTGAATCCTTGAAGGATACAAAGGATGAATTGGAAAAAGAAAAACAGAAAGGAAAAGCAGCTGTAGCAGAAATGGTTAGTTGTGGATTTAATTAGGCTCCCAGTATTGGGTATTTTTCAATTTGATCATTCATAATTGTCAGCTCTGCTTTGCTTTCTACTGTGAAAACTGCTCATATTTTTGCAAAGATGATGGCACCACTCTCGAAATTATGATTGCGTTAAGGAAAACAAAACTTGAGCTTTTATTTCTTATATATAATTGTAAGTTTGAACTAAGTTGTGGCTGGACTTTTTACTGGTAAACATTGGTTTATACCAGAAACAAGACTCCTTTAGTTGCTTTTTAATATGGCAATGAAAACCACAGACAGGATGAGCACTGAAACAATTATATGTGAAACTTGGAAAATACTGGACAGCCCTATAAAAACATAGGTGGTAAAACTTTGCCAGAATACAACTCACATTTGAGAACAATGAAGTCAGTTTTTTTTAACTTACTATTATTTTGGTTTTCTAATCTGTTTCACGCAGAATATATTGCTGCATATATTGTGGGTGTGGTGAAATATTGCTGACTGTAGTAAGCACAAATGTATTTGGAGATAAAAGGTGGGTGAGGTAATATCTTTTATTGGACTTACTTTTGTTGGTGAGAGAGACACAAGCTTTTGAGCTTACACAAGGCTGCAGAGCTGAAGAAAAGTTCTGTAAGCTTTCACCAACAGAAGTTGATCCAATAAAAGATATTACGTATCCTACCTTGTGTCTCTAATATCTTGGGAGCAAGATGGCTACAACACTGCATACAGTAATGGCATCTGTCATTTTGGGAACTTCAGGTTGGACCTCTCTGTTCTGGCACCATTGGGACCTGATCGGTCCCAAATGAGGGAATTTGCTAAACCAGGTGAGGTCCCCCGATACTGGCTCCCCAGCCCACTGACCCTCCCTGCGGCCAGCACCAGCTGCACCCCTGCGAATCTGCAGCCCGGTCTGCCATGTCCCTGGCCATGCTGTTGGGGCTGCATCATTTGGGACCAGAGAGGTCCTGGCCCAGGCCTTGCTCCTGTACTGCCAAGGCTGCTGCATCCCTGGCCCTGACCCCACTACTGGGGCTGCCATGGCCCCGGCTGTGCTGCCGGGGCTCCGGCCCTGGTTCTGGCCCTGCCAGGCTACGAGCTGCGAGCCCTCTTGCCACTGTTACAAGACCTGTCTGAAAGCCAAAAATAATTCCAGTGACCTAAGAAGCTTCAGTATGGCAGCAAAATACTTGACCAGGAGTCCATTATTATAATAAAAGTGATGTTTATTGTTACTGTGTTTAAAACGATAATCCCTGCTTTTTTCAAACTTTGCTTACAGCAGCATCACTTAGTACAGTAGCAACACATGATTTGTGGATTTTCTATGTTTAAATTTATTTATTAGGGCATTTTTCTCAATTTCTTTTCCATTTCTCTGCCCCGATGTGTGATTGTTATTTTTATTTCCACTCAAAAGTAATCTATTTAAACTTAAAAATAACATTTCTCCTCACCTTCTATAAAAGCCCTTTTGTTTCTTCTGTAACAAAAGTCTATCATTGCAGTGTTTTACAAAGGCAGGTTTACACTTAAAACACTGCAGTGTGCCATTGTATTGTTTCACTTAAGATGCTAGTACACTGATAGAAGAGCTTCTCCTATTGACATAGTTAGTCCACTTCTGTGAGAGCAGCTGTTGTGTTGAGGGGAAGAACTTTCCTGTCCACTAAGTGCTTTTTTATACTGGGGGTTAGGTCAGTATAACTGCGTTGGTCAGTGCTGTGGATTTTTCATGTCCCTGAGCAACATAGGTATGTTGAGATAAGTTTATAACAGTGTTTCTCAAAGTGGGCTTGGGGCCTGCTTTGGGAAAGTTGCTAGCTGGCCACTCTGCTTTGTTTATCTAAAGGCTTTGTTTAGCTAAAGGCTCGGTGACCACTGAGCCTCGCGGCTCCCGTTGTCTCCGATTCACCATTTCCCAGGCAAGAGGAGCCATGGGAAGCATAGTCAAAGCGGAGTGGCCAGCTAGTGGCTTTCCCAAAGTGGGCAAACTTGAAGGATTTACTCTTCAGTTTATACCCTTAAAATAAGAATCCATATCCTACTTTCAGGGAAGTCCATGGGAGTTTTGCAATTGATACCAGAGAGTACAATTTGGGCTCAAAGTGTGTGTGTGTGTGGGTGAGAGAGAAGGAGAGCAAGCGAGAGAGAGAGAGAGAGAGAGAGAGAGAGTGTGAGTGTGTGTGTGTGTGTGTGTGTGTGTGTGTGTGTGTGTGTGTGAGAGAGAGATTGTAGACTTTAGATCACATTAAAAACAAAGGTTCCAATTCTGCCATCCTTACTTTATGTAATATCTTACTGCATAATTAATAAAGGTGGTGTTTTGAGCCTATACTGTTCACTGACAAGGGGAAGAACTGGGAGTCACCCTGTCCTGCCTTACAACTACCATCCTCATGAACTGCAAATCCACTTCTGAACTGCAAATCTAGGTCTCAATTGAGAGCAACATTGCTATTCAGGAATACACTTGCACACATTCTTTAGATCCAGGGACTTAAATGCTATTTAAGCAACTTTAAGAGTAAATGGTATTTAAGTCCATAGGTCTTAAGAATGTGCGGAAGTGCTTTCCTGTTTCCAGATCTTGGAAACCTAGGAAGAATGACTGAGGCTGAGTTTTTAACAGTTATAGTTTATAGCATATTATGAGGATATTTCTGTGCCAGAAACAGATTCTGATGTAAGAGAGTGTGAGTGGTCTTTTTTGTCAGTTTGTAATTTTTCTAATAATAACTTAAATGTATTTGGTAAAGGTCACAAAAAATGCTCAATTAGATCGTCTGTTTTTTAGGAAAAATCTTGCCAAGAAACTAAACATCAGCTTCAAGTACAGACAGAGTCTGTAGCTAAAGAACGGAATGAGTTGAAAAACTCACTGGAAAAACAGGAAGGGGTAAGATTACTAATTCCCAGTTACAAATAGTAAAAATATATCAGACACAGCTTTTTCAATCACATATGCAGCAATCAAATTGGAGGGGGGGAAATAGTGATATTTTCTCAAGCCCTAGTCAGTTGACATTAAAACAAGATGACAGTCACAGAAGATTAGATGTATTCTAATATGGTCATCCCTGGTTTTGGTATGCTCTTTATACAATATGTACAATAACAACAGATCATCACTGTCCCTCTGCTTTCGTATATGTTTTGATCAGCAGTGAGATAGTTAACTGTTACCATGTAACTTGTCATTAGCTTTCCAAGTTAACATCTCTTTTAAATGAATAGTGACAGCTCACACCTTTCAGATATTTAGTTTCAAACTTAGACATCTACATATCATTGTACATATCATTTTGTCAGTGCTTGCCATTCGGGAGAAAGTTTTCAGAAACTCGTGAGAGATTTATTTGTTTGTGAAAATCTCTTGATAGGAGGTTATTTTTGTAACTACGTGGGCTAGTCTTACCTTCAAAAAAACCAAAAAAAAAAAACCCCTTACAATTCTAGAGCATAGGATAGTCATCAGTGTACTGCCAAGTGACTGGACTGGCCCAGTTTAGTACCTCCCGTATGAAAAAAGTGCTATACAATTAGGAGATATTTTTTGTAAATAATCTATTTGATGTATAGCAACACAAACTAACAATGATTAAGGTAAAGATCATATGTAGTTTTTATTTATATTTTGAAATACAGATTTCTAAGCAGCTGACAATAGAGCTTGATTCAGCACGAGGACAAATACTGGAGATTCAGGGTATCCTAAAAGAGAAGGAAAAGAATGAGCAGCATCTCCAGGGAAAGCTGAAAGAACTGAAAGAATCTTTTGATCAAAAGAAAAAGCAAACTGAAATACAGCAAGCAGAATTAAAAGGTGCCCTTCTAGAAAAGGTAGTGCATGCGTCTGTTCATTCCTCTTACTTAAAAGGAAATTAATATTAAACTCCTCTGATGCATGCTCCTGTTTTATGTCATTATGTGGGTGATAAAATTGCTATTTATTGTAACTGAAATGTGTTCCTGGGAATGGTAAGGTCAGGATGCAGAACTGAACCCATCAGCTATTGTTCAAGGTCGAAACTATAAAAACGTTAAGTGTAAGGCCCGAATAGTGAATTATGGATTATGCAAGTGGTACACCTGTCATCAAACTGATTAAAAATAGCTAGACCTGCTGTGTTCATTCTACTGCATCTGTATGCATTGTGGCAAGAGCTGCCATCTTGTCGCATAGCAGTATGCAGTTTTAATGAGAATAATCTAAACAAAAGTCCTCAGTATTTTGGCGCATTGGTGATGATTTTAAACAACTCATTTTGTATTGTCAGAAGAAAATAGTCATAATGACAATATGAAACTTGTGAACTATGATGAAAAAGTTGAAACTCCATATAGCTTTAGAGGAGGTTGGTGTCATGTACTGTAATACTGTATTGAATGATGTCTGAACTAAGTCTCTCATTATCATAAAGTATCACACTGGTTTTCTTTTATTCTACCCATGAGTACTACAGGATTTGGAAATACTGTTCAGATATTTAAAAATGGGGCTTCCTGTGTTTGTTTAAACAAAAAAACAGGACTGTGTAGCACTTTAAAGACTAACAAGATGGTTTAATAGGTGATGAGCTTTCGTGGGCCAGATCCACTTCCTCAGATCAAATAGTGAAAGAAAATTGTCACAACCATATATACCAAAGGATACAATTAAAAAAAAGTGAACACATATGAAAAGGACAAATCAAATTCCAGAACAGAAGGGGGATGGAGGGGGGGAAGGGGGCTATTCTTTTGATGTTAATCACTTATTTTTAATTATATCGCAAGTAAATCACAGTGTATTAATGCAAGAAATAATGTGATCTAATAATATGACCTTATTCAGACTTTTTACCTGGGATCAGTAACAGCTGTAAGTATAGCAGAGTGAATCGAGAGAGAAGATTTATTGAAATAATTATGCTTGTTTAATTAAAATTTCTTAAAAATTTAACAAAATTGAGATAGCACATAATCCACATTTTACATTTTTATTTTACATGCCCAATTTGTCCTGTACAGTATAACTCTAGAACTTATATGTGTTTCAGGCGGAACTAGAGAATAAACTACAGCAGCAGGTAACGTTATCAACCCAGGAACTTAAAGCAGAGAAAGGAAAACTAGCAGAGCTACAGAAGATCCATGAAAAAGATCAGGAAAATATGAAAGAACTTCAGCTGGATCTTTATGGTAAAGAATCTGAACTGTTGGCAACAAGGCAAGATCTGAAGGTAAAGTGTCTTTTTTTGTTTGTCATAAGTGACTTAATAAATGTTTGTCCTCAGGATGAATTACAAGGAGACAAAGTAAGAGCCATGTGAAGAAAAACTGTCTTTCTATGTATAGAATTTTCCTTGGAATAAAGTACATGTTGGAATTAGTTTAAATGACAGGTACCTAGAATGTCCTTCTCATTTACAAATGTTTTGTAGCAGTGCTGTTGTCTGAGCTCTGAGAAATATTTGCTGCTAAGGTGTGTGTGTTAGTGTTAGTGTTAGTGTTAGTGTTAGTGTTAGTGTTAGTTATACCATCCCCTTCATAAAGTGAATGACTTAGTGGTCTTGGGTTCCATTCAGTATAAAGCTTGTTCTTAGTCTTATTTCTGAAAAGTTCCCAGGCTGTGGAAACAAATATACAGATAATGGCAACCATGTCTGCCAGTATGGAAGGGAGTAACACCAAGGGTATTTCCCTCCCCCTTGCATTTAGTGCCTTTTTGGCTCAAAAGGACTTAACAGGCTTTGACAGTGCTTCTCTGCTTGCTTTCCTGCAGCAGACTTCTTCAGTCTGTATTGTTCTTCAGGTGACCCAATTACTTTTGGCCAGTTTACAAATACTATTTCTATTCAGAATTTATTTTAAAGGGCTTTCTTCTTAGTGGGAAAGATTTTACATATAAATTGATGTAGCCATACAGTCTTGAGTCAGATGTCAAATGAAAGCAGACCCTGATGTTGTCAATGCTTGGATGGGTGACCTGCAAGAAAGCCCAAGTATAGCTGGAGGATCAGTAGATAGTGCTTTTTCTTCTCAGTCAGCACTTATAGTCATGGAGTCATAGAATTAAAACCAGAAGTGACCGCTAGTTCATTTCTTGTGGTCGCCTGCATATCCCATGCTTCCAATAGCTGCACACTAAATCAAACATCCCAAATTAGACTTACAGCCTACAGGAGAACCTGCATATCCCATGCTTCCAATAGCACACTAAATCAAACACCCCAAATTAGACTTACAGCCTACAGGAGATTAGACTATTATGTGTCAATTACCCCTTGCCTGGACATCCTTAATTACTTTCTCTTTCAAATTCTGTTCCAAGACCTTGCATACAGTTGGGGTCAAACTAACTGGACTGTAGTTTTCTAGATGATTTTTCCCCTTTCTTAAAAATAGGTACTATGTTAGCAATTCTCCTGTCATAGAATACAATCTCCAAGTTTAAAGATTCATTAAAAATCCTTAATATTGGGCTTGCAGTTTTGTGCCAATTCCTTTAATATTCTTGAATGGAGATTATCTGGATCTCCTTGGTTTAGACCCATTAAGTTGTTTTAGATTGACTTCTACCTTGTATGTGGTAATTTCTTCCGTGTAAAATATTTTTCTTGTATTTTAGATTATTGAAGTTGCGTAATTAAATTATTATTTGAAGTTGTTATTGGCTGCCATATTCTGCTGCAATGGTGGTTTCATTTCAGTGGTACTTGAGTGAATGCTTTATGCATCTGATGAAGTGAGCTGTAGCTCATGAAAGCTTATGCCCTGATAAATTTGTTAGTCTGTAAGGTGCCACAGGACTCTTTGTATACAGTATGAAGTGCTTTGTGATATTTATGCAACAGTGGTTTACAAGTACCATTTTTCATTGTTAGTGACTAAAACCTGCTGATATAATTTGTGACCTAATTTTCCTTATCTGTTTAGACCGATGTTTTGTAATGGAAAGTGATCTATACATTATTGGATCTGCTCTGTGTACCGCACAGTAGTACATACAAAGTTAAAATAATACCATCATTGCCCACAAAGGGTTTACAGTGTGAATAGGGATCACACAGAACAATAGGGAGGTCCTGGACACAACCTAGAGGAAAGGGAGGGGTCAGAGGAAGTTGGAAGTAACAAGAAAATGAGTTTACCAGTCTTAGAAAATGCATAATTTTGTAAATTTGAAGATTGTGGTCCCATTGTGCTAAAGTGCTATACAAACAAGAAGGCAGAGTATGGGGTTTTGGTTTTTTATATTGAACAGTGATATTACTGAACAATACAGTTTAATAAAATGTTAAAGGGCCATTGCAAAATATAGCTAACTTGAAAAGATGTGAAAAGCAAAACAACAAAAATCCTCTTCAGAAAATTCCAAATAATGATCAAAAGATCCATTTATTCTTAGAGCACACAAAAAGCACAATTGCATATGAAAACACCCTTTTAACTGTTTTCACTTTGGTGCTTAAGTACTAAATGTAGAAAACAAGTAGAGCAAACTTTGGATTTGAAGAGCCTTTTTTTTTCCTTTTCCTCTCATAGGATATTTTGTCATGTCATGGTGACATCCCATGTTGCATTATAAGTAATGTCCTCCTTGTTCCCTTAGATACCGTTTCCTGTAATTGGAGTTCTGGAGCCTTATTGCAGCTGATATCACTGCCACCACAAATATCTAGAAAAACATGACACAGACCACATTTAACAGAAAAATAGGCCAAAATGTATTGCAAGTGGAAGTATGTTGATAAATATTTTGAGCTTCAAATTATATTTGCAACAGAAGGTGGAATTTTCTTTTTAAAGAAAAACTAATGCTGATTTATAAACTAACTAAGCTTTTTCATGGCTACAGAATGTAATGGGCTTGACTTGCAGTTACAGAAATGCAGTGTGTTTGATTTTCTTGTGCAGTTTGTATTGATTAGTGTTTGTAACGTACAGGCAGTCCCCAGGTTACGTACAAGATAGGGACTGTAGGTTTGTTCTGAAGTTGAATTTGTACGTAAGTCGGAACTGGTACATATTGTAGGGGAAGCTCTAGCCAAACATTTCTCCAGAGCTCAGTTTTATTCTCTCACACCTCACTTCCCTCAGTCCTTTATTCTCAAGCTGAGGTGTCTGCTGAGAAAAGCCGCTCCGCTTCTCCCTGGTCTGCTGGAGGGGGGGGGGGGGGGGGCGCTAGCTTCACATCTCCCTGGTCTGCTAGGGGGAAGCAGCTAGTGCGGGGTTGCCTCACCCCGTTTGTAAGTAGGGATCCGATGTAAGTCGGATCCATGTAACCCGGGGACTGCTTGTACTCTGTAATTTAGATAGGCTCCGGTAATAATATAAACAAAATATTTGGAGTTTAGTTCCTGAGAATCTTGCATGGTCTCTGAAGCTGAAGGCTGAGAATGATGTACACAACTAATAGGACATATGAAGGAAAAAAAACATGATTGCTCCAAGAGCTAATCACTATTTTTTTAACACTTTGGTCCCTCCCCAGCTTCCTCTTCCCCTGGCCAACTTCACCTGTTGGGATAAGGATTCAATCTTTTGTGCCATGGGATGGACTTGAGGTAGGAACTCCTCATAGACTCATAGACTTTAAGGTCAGAAGGGACAATTATGATCATCTAGTTTGACCCCCTGCACAGTGCAGGCCACAGAATCTCACCCACCCACTCCTAGAATAATCCTCTCACCTATGTCTCAGATATTGAAGCCTTCAAATACTTTGAAGGCCCCAAGATGCAGAGAATCCTCCAGCTGTGATCTGTGCCCCATGCTACAGAGGAAGGCAAAAAACCTCCAGGGTCTCTGCCAATCTACCCTGGAGGAAAATTCCTTCCCGACCCCAAATATGGTGATCAACTAAACCCTGAGCATGTGGGCAAGACTCACCAGCCAGACACCCAGAAAGTTCTCTATAGTAACTCCATTGACCTATTTCCCACTGATAATGAATGCTCAATTAGTTACCAAGATCATGTTCTCAAACCATCCCCTTATCATAGAACTGGAAGAGACATCAGAAGGTCATCAAGTCCAGCCCCCTGCTCTAGCAGGACCAATCCCATCTAAATCAACCCGGCCAGGGCTTTGTCAAGCCGGGACTTAAACACCTCTAGGGATGGAGACTCCACTACTTCCTTAGGTAACCCATTCCAGTGCTTCACCACCCTCCTAGTGAAATAGTTTTTCCTAATATCCAACCTGGACCTCTCCCACCATAACTTGAGACCATTGCTCCTTGTTTTGCCCTCTGTCACTACTGAGAACAGCCTCTCTCCATCCTCTTTGGAACCTCCCTTCAGGAAGTTGAAGGCTGCTATCAAGTCCCCCCTCACTCTTCGCTTCTGCAGACTAAACAGACCCAAGTCCCTCAGCTTCTCCTCATAAGTCATATGCTCCAGCCCCCTAATCATTTTGGTTGCCCTCCGCTGGACCCTCTCCAATGCGTCCGCATCCTTTTTGTAGTGGGGGGCCCAGAACTGGACACAATACTCCCGATGTGGCCTCACCAAAGCCGAATAAAGGGGAATGATGACATCTCTGGATCTGCTGGCAATGCTCCTCTTAATGCAACCTAATATGCCATTAGCCTTCTTGGCTACAAGGGCACACTGTTGACTCATATCTAGCTTCTCATCCACTGTAACCCCCAGGTTCTTTTCTGCAGAACTACTACTTAACCGGTTGGTCCCCAGCTTGTAACTATGCTTGGGATTCTTCCGTCCCGTGCAGGACTCTACACTTGTCCTTGTTGAACCTCATCAGATGTCTTGTGGCCCAATCCTCCAATTTGTCTAAGTCACTCTGGACCTTATCTCTGCCCTTAAGCGTATCTACCTCTCCCCCCAGCTTAGTGTCATCTGCAAACTTGCTGAGGGTGCAATCCATCCCCTCATCCAGATCATTAATAAAGATATTGAACAAAACCGGTCCTAGAACTGAACCTTGGGGCACTCCACTAGAAACCGACCGCCATCCTGACATCGAGCCATTGATCACTACCCGCTGGGCCCAGCCTCTAGCCATCTTTCTATCCATCTTACCGTCCATTTATCCAATCCACATTCATCCAATCCACATTCCCTTAACTTGCTGACAAGAATATTGTGGGAGACCGTATCAAAAGCCTTGCTAAAGTCAAGGTATATAACATCCACTAACTTCCCAATGTCCACCGAGCCAGTTACCTCATCATAGAAGCTAATCCGATTGGATAGGCATGACTTTCCCTTTGTGA